AGGGGGGGGGGGGGGGGGGTGTATGTGCAAAACATCTGCAAGACAAAAGACTGAGAAGTAAGCAGTGAGATAACAAGTATGCTACCAGGAGCCTTTAAAATATTTTGTTTGGTCAGGACGAAACAAGGTTGCCAGTGCATGACAGAAAGTGCTTGTCTGTTGTCAGAGGACAACATGCTATGAGTGTATTAATGAATGGGATGCGTGCTTTAGTCAGTGTGTTTGTGCGCAGGCACTTTGCTGTCTGTCATATACTGTATAGAACTACTGCTGCTGCTTGTTCCCACAGCAGAGAGAAGGAGACAAACGGAGGGGAACTTCATTATTTGCAGAGAGCTTTATGAACGATGTGTAGATGTGTGGATGTGTGGACAGAGCAGGAATCTCAGTAGCTGCAAGAATAGGAGAGTGAGAGGAAGGGAGGAGAGAGAAAGAACGCCTGACAGTGCAGTCAGTGGTGAAGTGCACAGCTTCAAAGCATAATCACTCCTGGAAACAGGAGCCATTTCCCAAATCACATCCATGCTCGCTTCCTCTGTTTCTTCTCTCTCGCTCTTATTGCTTCTTTCTCTCTCTCTTGCCATAGTGGAGATGCCTCTGTCTAGCTCTAATATCTGCCTTTGTTCAGAGTTCACCATTTTGCAGTAGCAGGATCTTCTGTAAATATCAAACCCGCAGATCACAACCTAGAAGGCGCACAAAGGACCAAATTGTGGCAGAATAGTAGCAAGAGATGAGAGAACTCAGAAGGAGACAGACCTTGTTAAAACAGAAAGAGACAAAAAGTGTGTGTGTGTGTGTGTGTGTGAAGGGGAAATGAAAAGGGGGGAAAGACAAGTAAGGGGAAAAGAAGAAGAGGCCCGCAGGGTTGTTCATTGTGTCTCGGTCCTGACAGCAGTGTCTGACACTGTGTATGACATTTAACTGCGATGCCTCTGCCAGTGCGCTGGTGTGCGGGGAATCTGCCTGTCAGCTGTCGTTTCACTGGAGACACTTAGTTGTCCTTTGTTAGTATGTTGGTTGTGAGTGACAGACAACATAGATCTGAGGTTTGTAAAGCTGGGCTTCAACTTGCTGGGGCAGGCTTCTCAAGTGCAGAGATACATGGATACACAGTACTAGTCCAGTGATTTCCAACCTTTATTATTTGAGGTACCACCCCAGCCCCATCAGATGAACCAAAGTCCTTCACTGACACAGTCATATGTTTGGGATATCTGCCATGTTATGTGCATGTGAACAGATATTTACTTTACCTAATTAAACTATTAATTATGCAACTGCGGACATAGTTCCAACAGATTTTTTTCATACATTTTGTACTGTCATTGTACAAATTTATGTGTTAATTTAGCTTTTTCAGCATTTTTATTTTCCTCATACCCCCTGGCAACTGTGGGGTCCAAGTACCCTTGTTTGGGAATCACTGTATTGGACTATACTGTATGTTTATCTTTGCATCTTTTGCAGTGAGTTAAGGCTAAACTTGTATTTTTAATAACATTTTCTGTTTTAAAACATTTTCTATTTTTACTTTATGTATTCAGTTACAATAACACAGTGATACAGTTTAGTCTATTATTCATGTAACAGGATCAGGATCACAAGAGACAAAGACATCTAGTTTATGGGAGTCAGTTATATGCTCGTGTGTTTGTGTAGTGAAGTGTGAGAATATGCGATTATTGGCTCAGAGAACAGGCGTGCTCAAGCCAAGAGAAGTTATGGGCTAAATGGGAAGGGAAACCAGAAACATGGAGGAGGGAAAGGAAATGAAACAAAATCGCATCACACCACATGAAGTTGCAGAAAGGTCCAAAAGAGACTAAACTGACAGTATAAGAAGTAAGATTAAAGAAAGGACTAGAAAAGATAGGAGTTGGAGGATCCTGGGCAAATTGTCTGCAGTCTAGTCAGACTGTTTACATGCAGCTCCTGTTGGTTGTGAGCATGTGCACATGTGCACATGCACGTTCTTCCTGCCTCCCATGGGTCTCCAGAGTCCCTACGCTCCAGGTGGGCTTTGCATTTTTAATCGATACTGTCTGTAGTGATTAACACCAGTCTTCTTGCTGCAGCAGAAAACAGAAGGACAGAGTGATGGAAATCAGTCATACATGAGGCAGGGTGTGTGACTGAGTGTGAGTGTGTGCATGTGTGTTCGTTTGGCAGTAATGACCCTGTGCCTCTGGGCTCCTACTGAGTATGTTTATCTCCCACAGCAGCTCCATAGACAATGCATCACTGACACAGACACACCTTGTGCATTTTTTTCCTTTTCACCTTTTTTGCTCAAATTGCCTCCATCCTGCATTCTTCCTTTTCATACATGCACACACACACACACACACACACACACACACACACACACACACACACACACACCCTCACTCTATTCTAAAATACTTACTCCAGTTTCACATACCATTAAGGTTCGTTCTTCCTTTTTCACTCCTCTCTCATTTTCCCTCCCACTTGTGTTGCAATATGCCTATTAATGATGCAGCTAGAGCACCACTGCCAACTTCCTGCCTCTCATACACACACACACACACAGAGAGAGAGAGAGAGAGCAAGAGCGAGAGAGAGGAATGTAGTTGTGGTGTACATGCCCTGCTTTGTATCACTTCCTCTTATCTCTCCACCCCTCTGCCTGTGTTGTTTTCTCCAGAGTTGGCCTATGCGAGCAACGCGTGGACTGAGAGGTGCTATTTCGTTCAGAGCAGAGCCCAACATGTGAGAAGATGTCTGTTGGAGGTTGTGCTTGTCCCGGTGAGTGCCTGCTTTCTCTCTTATTTCTTTACCTCCTCTCCCTCTTTCTTCCTGTGTCCTCTCTGTGCTCAGTGGTGCTGTCAGAAAGAAGACTTATGTAAAAATGCTGCAAAGCTGCCTAGGGCCAGCGACAAGCTGTGTGAGTTTGCGTGTGCATGTGTGTGATGTTAAAGTCATGCTACACTTTCAACAAATGTCCTAAAACAGGGTTATGAACTGAGGCTACCACACTGTAGGATTAAGTTGTTCAGCAGACCCTTTCAGCTACACTAGCTTGCTCTACAACAGATCAATGGCTCTTTGGGTTTTGCCACATACAGAGACAGTAAAATATCAATAAGTACTTCATTTTATGACTCTTTTTTATTATTTTTCTCAGCTTTATCTGGTCACTATAGATCTGGTTCTTCATTATTTGTGCTTTATATATCTACAAGGGGTGTCACTGCTTACTGTTACATGAATTGTTTTTCATATAAGTCCCATGGGTCAAAACTTAATGAGGCAAAAGTACTTTAATTTATTCACTGTCAAATGGTTTAAAGCTGGTCTCTGTGATGAATGTAAACCACTAATGAGGGTACTTAAGAAGATTTAACTGAGTCTTAAATTTGTTTGGATGTAAGCTGCTGTTTGGATATTGGCTACAGCTTGTCATTGTGACTTTGCATTTTTTATGCAGTTGACATGCTTGGCTTGGCTTTACCTGGAATCAAGATTTTTGGTCTGTTGAGCTTTAAATAAAGATTACATGAAGCATGGTTTGCTGCTTGTATCTTATGTATCCACACTCTGCCCTTGTGCTACTGTATCAGAGCAAGGACAAGGAAATCTAGTACTGTATGAGTCAGCCTGCACCGTATCAGTCTCTGGCAAGCAAAATGTTTTGGCAATTTTTATCAAGTAGACCTTATAATTGGTTCTCTCCCATAGAGTGTTTGATCCTTCTTGATTTGAAGCCGTTTCTATTTAACAGTATCCCATCGAGTCAAGGCAGACTACAGAGAGTGCTGCCTTGTGCATGGCCTCACGGTGCCAGGGGACAGGCACTGTGCAGCACAAGGGCGCGAGTAACAGATAGAAATTGAATCGTAGCATCTGCTCGGGGGGATATCAGAGAGGACAGATTGAATTAGGGTGTCAGTATCATTTCAGTGGGGCTGCTCTGACTCATTGGCAGTCAGCTATCAGATGGAATAATATCAGAGGCTTCAGCTTGATGGGCTCTTCTCCTATCTTTCCCTTTTCTCATCACTCTCTTCTGTAGTTTTCCAGTATATCTTCCTCCTCTGCTCCCTCTGTTGACAGACTTTACTGTGGAGCAGAAATTTTTAATGAAGTCCACATGTTTTTGGAGGATGTATTGAGAAAGAGGTTTTCCATTTAGGTGCAACCGAAGGTTTACTCACACAAGCATGCATGCAAATATATACCATGCATGTATATACCTTCATGAGGAGCCTGCTAGGGCAAGTTTAGGCTAGTGGATCTTTCAGATAACCACAGAGCAACACTGATCAACACTGGTTTGCAGTTTTCTCTCTCCCTTTCAGTGTGTGCATGGTAAATCATTAGATTTGAAGGCTGGTTTGTTTACATTCTTGTATGATGGTGGATGGAAGATCCTCCCAGTCCTTTGTGTGTGAATCAGCTCTGGAAAAAACTAATCCTCTTTCCTTCGAACAGAACTTTCCTATTTCATTTGGTTTGGTCATGTTTGCTTCGTTATTAGGTCAGAATGTTGTAGAATAGAGGAATCTGAACTGAGCATATTTGTATGGCTGCGTGTATGTGTGAGAATGTGAGTCATAATAAAGAACAGACTTTGCCTGTCTATCTGGTTCATTGACACCCCAGTGATATCTCGCTGTTGTTGTGACTTTGCTGTGAATCAGCCTTTTAAAGACTTTGTTTCCCGCATGAAGGAGATCTATCCTAACACAGCGGAGCCAATCACATTCTTTGTTCAGACCAAATGGTAAAAATAGATCGCCTGCGAGCTGAAGATACCCCCCGCCTCCATTTTCACATGCACCCACTTAAGCATGCGCTCCCCTCTGGTAGCCACAGTCTCCGTCTGTCACCCAACTCATTCTAACCCCTCCCTCCTGTTTCTGCCTTCCTCATCACACTCTCTTTCTCTTTTCCCTCTGTTTCCCTCTCTCCCTCCTTCTCTTTCTGTCACTCCCTCATCCTACGTTCATTGCCTTTTGCAGTAACAGTGGTGTTACCTCATGCAGAAAGTCACACGGCTCCTGATGGGAGAAAAGTGACTTAAAGCAGAACCAAGATGGCAGCCAAATAGCCAGGGCTTTTTTTTTGATTACCGGTACACAACAACATGACTGGCGCAGTTTTATCTCACTGCACTGAAAGCCCATGCCTCTCTTTCATTTCCTCCTCAGTTTGTTACTTCTTCTCTTCTCCTCCTCCTCCCCCAAGTGAGCCTCTCAGATCTTGTTTGCTAGATCAAAATGGCTGTGTGTGCAGAGGCACAGAAAAAAGGAATGTGTGGGAGACAGAGATGCTGGGGCGTCAGAGAGATGGGGGGGGGGTGCAGAGTGAAGTCGAACTGTAGTGATGTCACATCTGCTGCAGGCCAACAGGATGGCAGAAGGAAAGTTGGCATGTGCCACACACTGGAGAGGAGGGGGAGGATGGGGAGAAACCTAAATGCGTGGGAAGGGAAAATTGATTTTTTATCAAAGCACATTTTTGTTTGTGAGAGATGCGCTAGCTACAGAATCTTTAAAACATGAAAGCAGGTTTGATACTGTGATAGGAGGTGTCTATAATAGTGCTCAGATTAAAACAGTGCTCTACTGAAACCCAAAGGTGTGAGGACAGCTGCAGAGTTGTTTGTTTTGCAGCTGCATCTCTGTGCCGCTTGTGTGTGGCTTCAAGACTATTTAAGGCTCTGCTGGACTGTTGCGTGAATAGGGCACACAAACTATTAACCACAGTGATTTTTTTTAACAAATGTGTCTTGAATTAAACAGCCTGTTTGAGCTACTGGTGGGTGTCAGAGATTAACTGGGTAAACAGACTTTGAATGGCACTCTGTAGATTTGTGTATATAAGTCAAGGCAAAGACATTTTAAGGCTATTAAAGGGATTTCTGCCATAAAACTGTGATTTTGGGGCACTAAAATCAGGCTAGTGTTAATACCAATACTAATGTTAATACAATAAGAGCAACCATAAGAAGGACCTTTTTATTAATGGGGTCTCCTGCCCAAACCTACATGTTTGAAGAGCAACAGATATTATCTGTTAACAACAATCCCCTGTGCCAATCTTAGGGATTAGCTAATTCTGTCTGGATTCAGATCAATGGCCTCTGTCACTGCAAGTGACTTAACATCAACTGTCACACAGAGATATGCACACTAGCTTTCTTTTGTTACATTTCAGTTTATCTTGAACACATACCGTTTAACTTCCTCCAGTCAAGCCACAGTAGCGTCCTCTAGGCGCAGTCTGTGTTAGCCCTGTCTACTGCCTTGTTGCTATCACTACCAGTCAAGTGTCACAGCGGTTTCCCCGACAGCTTTGTGCTTCCACTGTGACATCTAGGACCATGATGCTCACCAGAACGCTCTCTCTCTGTTATAAGTTTGTACAGTCACAGTATGTCTGAAGGTTGTGGACAGTGTTTTGATTTGATTTATTTATTCTTGATTTGATTTATTTATTCTTTCAAGCATGTAAAGACAGTTGATATGTCAACACACATAATTTTACACATATCCAACAAATGCTAATCCAATATCAATTTGCTTATACCTAGTACATGCTTGAATGGAGTAGGAAGAAGTCAGACTTATCCAGTCCTACCCCATGAATACAGCAGACAAGAAGGATCTAATGGTACTTACTGATCTCTGGTCAGGTTCAGGTGATGAGCCCTTCTCTGCAATTCTTCTCCTGTAAGACAGAGTCCAGAATTATTTCTGAAAAACAGTTGCTATTTTTAAAAACATATCATCATGTTTAATGTTAATATCATAAAGCACAGACCACACAATTCCTCCTGAACTCCACATTTTTAAAACCTAAATTCCTTAGATTTCTCTAGATCTTACAGTGATACTTCTCTGTCAGCAACAAAGTGCATTTAAATTACGATTTTACTACATATCATCTCATAATACTGAGGAATAGTGAGAGTGATGAGTACATGAACTTATTCTTCAGGTGGCACAACAAAATCCATTGCGACCAACATTGGGGTTTGCTAAATCTACTGTATGGCAACTGTGTCAAGTTTCACTTTTCTGTAGTATATGAAACAAGATCTGAAATTCATTCATATGACTCAAGTGCCTATTTTGAGACGTACTGAATCGAAGAGTAATATATGATGTGTCGCTACCTCCTTGCTAACAGGGCACTCATCTCCTCCATGAGCCCTCCTCCTCCAGGCAGAGGGCCGTTGCCTCTGGCTTCAGATTTGGCCCCTCCAGCCCCTGGCATGGCTGCTGCCAGAGCGGCCGCCGCCTCTTTTGTATGTATTTCCCCAGTTTTCAACGCCATACTCTAAGTATGGTAAAATCAATGAAGAATACAAAATGCGTAGTGCTTCCCCGTCCAAAATATATCTAACCCTTGCCAATATCGATATATTTTTTGCTATTTTGTGCTGAATATGTCTGATATGAGATTTCCAGGAGAATTTGTCATCAACTATGACACCTAGAAATTTAATTTCATATACTTGTTCTATATTAGCTCCCCCAATTTTCAATTGAAGTTCATTATCTAGTCTACGATTCCCAAATACCATAAATTTAGTTTTATCCAAATTCAGAGATAGTATATTGCTGTCACACCATTTCTTTATCTTCTCAAGTTCCTGTGAAACCCATCCAGAGAGTTGCTGTAGGTTTTCAAAGCATGTTTAAATGTAGTCAGTGAATGCCAAATGTGAACATGTTAAACTTGTTTAATACATAATTTATTTATTTTTTCTTTTAAATCAAGGTCAGTTCCTTCAAGTGTACAAATTATCTAACTGTTCCAACATTTGCACAATGAACCAAATAATTAAAAATCAGATTTATTGTATGTTTTTTCTTTATTAAATACCACATTATAATTTTACATACAGTGCATTAAAAGCATTTCAGTTTGAATGAACATCACATCAGATCTTGTGTAGTGCAAGCTCAGCTTTCTGGTGACTAGATTATGACTTCATTCTTGTGCATATGATGGTCCCATTCTGATTCTGCTTTTAATGTTATCACTACCTGCCAGCCCTACATGCAGGTACTCTGTGTACACATGCGCTTCATGTGACTTTTACTGAATACAGAAAAAATAGTCTGGGATTAAATTCTTAGAACTAAAACACACCCAAATGAAAGCCTGCAATAGCATATATTTTGTGCCATATAATTCACATTTCAGTTTGGTCCTTCATTTTTAGTTTAATGCAATGAAAATACCCACTTCCTTTAGATGTCTCCGACTTAAAATGTAAGCACTACTGTGCAAGTAAAAGTTACTGATGTTTATAATCATGGAATGTGCAAACAATGCCTAAAGACCAAACTATATGATAAAAATGAGAGATGTGTTAATTAGTTGGATATTTAGAGTATGGTATAAACTCATGGATAGAGGTCAGTCTGTTGTGTTGTGTTGTGTTGGATTCTCTTCTGAATCATCAGGAAGATGTTTGCAGCATTTGCCAGCAGAGGGAGATGCTGTTCTATCATATCTCTCCTTTTGTCAGTCAAACTGGGAAATCATTGCTTTCAGCAAGAGATTTCAACAAGACATCATAGGTCTAGAGCTACAGTATGTTATAACAAAAGGCTTTAGTCTTTATTTTATCACCCGGTAGCTGTTTAATCTTTTATGTCCTGTCACAAATGCAACTCTTTACACTGGACAAGAGTAGTTCTGCCTAGAAAGAGGGTTTGAGTTGCATCTTTTTTCAAAATTTAACTGAATAAGGCAGGATATTTATATTAACAGAACAACATCCTGGTAACAAGGCTCTGGATGGAGCAATCTGATAACATAAAAAAATTTATATAAATATACTCCAGCTGTGGTGTTGCAACATGACTCTCCAGATCCAAATAGCGGTATGAATTGTTAGGTTTTGATTATGATGATGTATATAAAGTTGCCCACAACTAATAGCAGCCATTTCTGTGGCATTCTTATGCAATCTGAGCACTGAACACAAGCCGAAGCTGATAATGCATATCTCTGATCTATGCCTGATGTGGGTTTTATGCAGTAAGTGTGACTGGCGAGGGTTAGATGTGTTTACTCTGTCAATGAAGTGCATTGTTTTACTTCTCCCATCTGCACTCCTGGCTTATATAGTTGTACTAACTGACTGGCAGCTCAAGTGAAAGCCTCAACAAATTGAGCTTTAAATGCACTTTGAGACCACAGAAGGTTTTCTGGCCTTCAGATATATTGCTTGTAAACATTAGAGTGGTTATTGATTAAAAGTGAGGCTGCAGATTATACCCTTACATAATCTGAAGCTATCACAGGCTCAAGACTGTGGTCTAAAGGATTTGAATCATCAGGCAAGTCAATACTTTTTCATAAGCCTCTACAAAGTTGGCTTACATTAAACTACCTGTTTAGGTAGTCATTGTCACAGATTTGCTGAACAGTGCCAACAGAATGTCTGTCTGAATCACACTGCAAAGATTTAACAAAGGCCCTTTTTTCATTTAGTGGTTTTTAAGGTCAGGACAGATTGTACAGACCTGTATGACCAGAGCTTGTTCACATACTGTAGTTCCAGCAGTCCTAGGAAACTAATTTTACTGGCATTTACCCTGAAATACAATATACGTGATATACAGCTACTATGTTCAGCCTGGATGATAATAAAGCCAACTGGGGGAACCTGAGTCTTGCATGTCTCAGAATTTCTTTTAAATGAATGGTACTTATTGTCATCTAGTAAAATATTTGAATGTCTTCATGTTTAGTTTTACAATATGGCAGTCTTATTCCCTCCTAACAGACATGGGTGGCACCCAACTTGACATTTTAAAGACTGTATTTATCACAAGTTGTAAATTTGGGAACACATTGATCATTTGGATCTGAGGGCATCACATCTGGCTAAAGGCCTTAATAACCTCTTAAACTCCACTGTCCTGCTAGATTATCATTCATTAAAAACACATGCTGTGCAGCAAAACACTAAAATTAGAGTTTATAGTGGAGATGTCATTATTTTCAAAACACCTGACATGTCTGTGGATCTATAGGATACAAAATAATGCACATATCAAGCATACTTTCATTTGATAGAATGGTGCAGTGATAAAAACATGAAACCAGCTGGTTGTGACTCCAAGCTGATACAGAATATATGATGCTGTTCTGTCAATGGGGACCCGCCTTGCAACACTCTCGGGGACAAACTGGGGGCCTCTGGCGGGGAGGCGGGCCTGCGTTTGTCCCATGCTGTGTGTCGGTCGGGATGGGCGGAGGAGCCTGGAGGAGGCGGGGCCTTTGTTTGTTCGTGTCTAGGCTGGCACGAACAAAGGGTCCTGTTGTAGTAGTACATAGGTAGCTAAACAAATGACGTTTAAAACATAGTTAGGAATTACTCGCTGACAGGAACCAGGGAAACAAGCGATACTGCTTGACTTTCTGTCGCTTGCCGTGTTGTTTGGGAGCGTGGGACTGCATTATCAGCGGTCGGCGTTGGACGCTTCACCATACAGCCGCTCCGGCTAGCAGCGAGGCTAGCTGGCTAGAAACGCCAAGCGGAGGTGTTGAGCGACACCGCGTTTCGGTTTACCTTTCTCTGCAGGTAACTCCAACTTACAGCCGCATTACTTTAGCGGCGCCACTACTTCACAATAAACCATTGCATCTGGTCATAAACAAGACCGGGAAATAAGTTGATGGCGACGATAACGGTAGTTTAGCACCCAGGTTAATAGCTTAGCAATGGCATCCGTCCTCCGCTAACGCTTAATGAAGGCAGCCCCGCTGTTTAGTTTACGCCCGGTCCCGTGTGTTGAGGTGATCACTGGCTTGTTTTTAAATGTCGACTGTGCATGTCCATAGACAGAGCTATAAATTGACATAAGCAAGCAGTGCAAGTATGCGGGGAGTCTTTGCACATTGCTTTGGATGATTTATTGGCTGTGGGCCAAACTCTGGATGCAGCTCCATTGTTTGCAGTGAACAGTTTGGGCGGACAAAACTGCACCAAAGTCTCAGTGTTTAAAGTTAACCTTGGTTCTGCATCAGGAGCTCCCTTCTGATACTAATCAGGGGGTTCTGTTAAAGGAAGCTGCAGTCGTTCATCTCTATTTGTCATGTATACCTCAACCCGGGAGACTTTCCTGAGTCTGTCGTGTTAAGACGTTATGCTTGGCCCGTGAAATTGTCAATGTATAGCCTACATACATCTGTCAGATTAGGACCTAGCATCGACCTATGTTGTATAGTGGAGATGATGGTGACTGGGCCTATTTTAGGCTTCCTGTTGGTGTGTGAGTATATAATCCTATAATTCCAGAATATGAACGTATAATATATTAGAGGTAATAAAGATAATCCAGTACTCTTTATTTTACAGCGTTCATCAAGATTGTGCGCAGTTTTACTGTAATCGGATTATTTGTTGGCTGTGGAAGTTGTGTTGTGCACAGTGATTGAACAAAGACTGATCATTAGGGCTGAATGCTGTCTGGGACTAATGGCTGGTGATGCTGGGGGCGTGGGTCAATAGGCCAGAGGTAGCCTGATGCGTAGACGACAGTTGTTGGGTGCCCCCCCTTTAGGTTAGGGTTAGGGAGGAGAGGATGAGCAACCATGGCTCTCCCAGCTATACTGAAGAAAAGAGGAGGAGCTGTAGTAGTTCAAGTAGCCAGAGCTAGGCTGCAAAGGTGTACAGTCGAATCAGAGTTCACACACGTGCACTTAACCTCATCTGATGCTGTCCTCTCCGTTTGTATTTGTCTCTTCTCTAACCACCTCCTTTCTGCCTGTGAGCCACCATCGTTTTCATCATAAGTGATGTGAAGTGAAATACACTTAGGTTTGATCCATGCTGGGAGTCCATGTTTCTCCCTCTGTCGGTTTTAATTTGGTGCAGCCACCATTTAATATGCTGAGCTGACAGCGACTGGCTGCTGAGCATATATGGTGGCAGTCATTACTGTTGCCAATATCTAAATTCCTCTAGTTCACATTTTCTCTGAACTGAAAAGTAAATTAGGGAAACTGGAGGGTGTTTGTGACAGGCCGTTCTGTGTCAAATTTCCAGAGGTTGTTTTAGTCCTCTACTGGCTGCTTGTGTCCAAAATATCTTTGGTCACATCTAATCACATGCAGCAGCTGTCTGTGTGAGGTCTTCTTGAGCAGAGATGCACAAGAGATATTTTCTAAGAACCGTGAATTGTTTGGGCATGAATTATCTGGACTGACAGGGGTTAACAACAGCCAGGGTAGCAAGTGGGGGATGGGTAGAAGAGGCAACTACAGGGGGGGAGAATGCACACAGTGCGGTGGGGCATGGTTCGGTTCACATGGGGCTGTTTGCAGAGAAGAGGGTTCCCCATGATGACTCGGTTGGTACAGGAACATGTCAGGCCATCGACTCTCATATCCCTTCATTTCACTGATTTGATTTCTGCAGGTTAATAATATTTTAGTTTTTCCTCCCCCTCCTTGTGATGATTGGTTTTCTTGTCCATTTACCAGATTGAAGATGCATTAGATAATGAAAGCAGCAGGAAATTGTTTTGGCAGCGTGCTTTTATTTGAGTAAATCTCAACAAAATCACCCAGCATTAGATTACTCCAATGATGCCATGATCTGAATGAGCTAAATCTAAAGTCATTTAAATCTCTTCTAAATCTCTGCTCCCCTCCCCC